ATATATATATATATATATATATATATATATATATATATATATATATATGCATAATATGTGTATATAAAAACATTCTTGTAAAAACATTCTTGTTGCACAGATAGGCCAACCTGAGCTTATGAGTTTTTATTTTGGCTAATACATTTCTGAATTTGAATAGTCTGTCTATAGTCTGTCTAACTCAGTCTGAAATTAACTTTAGCTGTGGGTTCATACATGCACAAAGCAACACACAAGTGCACAATTGCCCCTGAAGATGACTCTTGCCGAGCTTCACGAGTGATAACAGTTTCCATGACAATGCGGCACTCCAAGTGCATCAATGCCAGCCTGGATAAACAGTGATCCTTTACCAAAACAAGGGGGTCATTACAGCAGCTTGTCAAATCAATGCTGAGAGTGTCCCGGCTGATTAAGGCGTCCCCTCTCAGTCCTGACACAGTGTCAATACTGGCTGGCCTGTAGCGGCACACTCCCATGATTGGACTGAAATGCCTATCAGTCAGGCAGCTGAGCTGGACTAATGATTCCCTGTGCTGCCTATTAGACGGACATGACAATTTAATCCTGTGGGCCAGGCAAAGAAAAGTGACCTTGGTGCTTTATATTGAGGCTGAGGTAAATTGACAAGAGCAGATAAATCTTTACCTTGGGCTATTAACTGAATTAAAACAACAAAGGCAGACGGTTCTTGCTTTGTTGTTTCGTTTGCTTCTGCCTTTCTTAACCCTGACATCAAAATCTTTTAAATTTGTGAACAATGCATGAAAGAGCAACCACAGCCTGTTTTGCTGGGATCAATGCAAAGCTCAGAAGGAAAGAGTTAAATAAAAAGCATTGGTTGGACTCGTCTATGTTTTGCAATCAAGCTGTAATTTTCAAAGTGGATATCTGCTTGAAGCTCGATGATTTTTACATGTACAAAGTCATTTCCAGTATGACCACAGGACATGGTGTATTGCCTTGGACATTTATCTTAAGGCTATGATAACATTGTCTACATAGCTGGAAAAAGCCATGTGTTTACACAGATGTTCCAAGCTTTCAGCACATATCTTCCTGTACGGAGCTGCATCCTCAGCTTCTGTGCCAAGAGCCATATACATTTTACATTAGCTTCTCCTTTGATACAGAAAGGAAGGAGGGCAGGGAGGAATCAAAAACAAACTAAAGATTCTCAGCGCTGCGTCGGATTTAAATTGAGCAAAGCTTAACATTTCCAGCGCTGTGACTTAATTTGTTCCCCGTTTATTCATTTATTTTTGTGTGTGACCTGTACACACAGAGACAAAAAGGCAAAACGCCTCTCAGCATTAGAGAAACAGGAATCAAATTGAAAAAAAAGATAAGAATTTCATTTCTCCTGTAAGAATAAATCACCAGGATCCGATTTGCCTGCGAGGCACCGTTGCCAAACTGACCTTTCATTTGAACTGAAACAAAAAAAGCAACTTTTTAGTTTTTATGTATGCATGAATAAAATCAAAGGCGTAGCTCATCAGAACATAAAACTTTAGCTAAATTCATTTTATCTGTACATGTTGATTAGTATATTTAACATTGGCATCTGTTCTTTCCACAGCCGTGAAAATGATGAACAGTTTGTCAACAGT